AGGGAGAGGCGGAAGCCGCCGGACACCGAGGCTCTCCGCTGAGGCGGCCCTTGCCACATCCTCCCCACGCTCCGGGGGAGAGCCCTGCACCCCAAATCCCCTGGCCGGAGCCCAGCAGGAGCGGGGAGGCGAGGGCAGCCGCAGACTGCACCGGGGAACGCGGCGCTGCCGAGGACGGCTCTGGGCAACAGCGCTGCCCGTGCTGCCCTGCCCCTGCCGCAGGCAACAGTCACCGCTTCACCGGGCACCAGCAGCTCCGAGCACTGCCGTGACCAGCACTGCCGCAGGAGCAGCCACCCCGCCGTGGGCAGGGCTGCCGCAGTGCCCAATGGCCATGGAGGCTCTCACACCGTGGCCCGGCAATGGCAGCAGGGCCCTGTGCCCCGTGGACACCGCCTTTGCCCAGCGCTTCTTGCCTGCCGTCTACCTGGCGGTGATCCCCCTGGGGCTGGCGGGGAACGGGCTGGGGCTGTGGCACCTCTGCACCAGGCCCCGGTGGGGTGCCCACCATCCCCTCGGCCTGCTGATGGGCAACCTGGGCCTGGCCGACCTGCTGTACGTCAGCACGCTGCCCTTCCTCGTCAGCTACTACCTGCGGGGCAGAGTGTGGCTCTTCGGGCAGGGCTGGTGCCGGATCACCCGGGGCCTCTTCCACCTCAACCTCTACGCCAGCATCGGCTTCCTCACCTGCATCAGCATCCACCGCTACCTGGGCATCGTGCACCCGCTGAAGGCACGGGGCAGGTGCCAGGGGACAACCTCTTCCGCATGGCTCAGCGTGATGGTCTGGTTGTGGGTCATTGCGCAGGTAGCTCCCGATTTCACCTTCAGCAAGGTGGACGACACGGGGATGCGGTGCCATGACACGACAGGGCATGAGAACCTGGGCATTTACTTGCCGTACACCACGGCCATCACTATGACTGGGTTCGTCATCCCGTTCCTCATCATCATCGGATGCTACTGCCACGTGGTGGTGGTGCTCTGCAGGAACGATACCATGGACCTCAGTCTCAGGAGAAGAAGCATCAGACTGGTGATTCTCGTGATGGTCCTCTTCTCCATCTGCTTCCTCCCCTACCACATCTTCAGAAACCTCAACTTGTTGTCTCGAGGCTGGCAGCTGCAAGGGTCCTGCACACAGGCTTTAAAAAACATCTACATTTTCTACCAGGTGACCCGGGGCCTGGCCAGCTTCAACAGTGCCCTCAACCCCCTGCTCTATGTGATGACCAGCAAAGACTGCATGTCATGTATGAGGACCATCAGCCAAAGAGCCAGCCAGTCCCTGGGGTCCACCTTCAGGAGGAAAACCTCTTGCCAGACAGATGAGAAGAAGATGAGCATCATTCTTTGTGAGGAGGAGGCTTCTGATGAGCTTTGAACACGCCCTCCAAAGGACGCACCACTTCAGTTTGCGCTTGGCCCCTTCTTGGGAGCAGCCCATCCACCTTGATACCTGCTTTGCAGAGAGATGGTGACTGCAGCATCACTTGCTCCAATCTCACACAAGGGACAGACAGGACTGCCGGCATCAGAGAGCAAAGTGGGACCAGGTTTTACAGCAAAGCTACTCAACCCAACTATTTTGCCTACAGCATGCCTGGAGATGGAAAGAGATAAACATTGCGTTTACTCCAGTCCTGAAGTATTTCTTAGTCCGGGCTCCAGTGCAGCACTCAGAGCTGGTTAACATCCCCCTGGATCCCCAGCCGCTCATCGAGCTCCTCAATGAGTGAGGGATGGGGGTGTCCCTCCACTGCATGCCCTCTCCCCCACTGGACATGGGTTGAGACAAGATTCCCTCCTTCACCCAAGGAGAGGACACGGGTAATTAACTCCCTGCATCGCAGGACAGCTGAGAGGGTGAATTTTTGCAGGGGGGAAGTGCTTTGGAAATGGAAATATTCATAAAAATATCAGGATTTAAATGTATGACTAAACTGTGCCAATTCCTGGGTTAGTTGTTCCTGGGTGACTGAGCTGCTTCAGGATCTGTTATCGTCTACTGCCCACCTCCTTCACAGAAGAAAAAAGAATTTTAGCATTACTCACTCTCTTCTGGAAGAGCATATAGCAGACAACAACAAAGTGGCATTTTAAGTTTCTGGATGTTGTTGGTTGGGTTTGGGTTTTTTTGCAAGGCGAATGACTGCAGTAGCCTGAACCGCTGCTTTCAGCAGGCAAATCTCAGGAGAGTTTTGAAATCTTCAGGTGGGTGACTGCATCTTACTCTTGCATCCAGGCTTGTGAGGGGATTAGACGTGTCTATTAAAAATTAGACATGCAAAAAGAAGAGAAGCAACGCTGGTTTGAAGGCTTGTGAAGGCAGATTCGATGGCGAGGGCAGTCCGTCTGTCGTCGCTGGGAAGGGCCGTAGGGATCTCTGCTTTGCGGGGAGCAGAGGCTCCCGGGTGGGTGACTGCATCTTACTCTTGCATCCAGGCTTGTGAGGGGATTAGACGTGTCTATTAAAAATTAGACATGCAAAAAGAAGAGAAGCAACGCTGGTTTGAAGGCTTGTGAAGGCAGATTCGATGGCGAGGGCAGTCCGTCTGTCGTCGCTGGGAAGGGCCGTAGGGATCTCTGCTTTGCAGGGAGCAGAGGCTCCCAAGCAGCATTTTGGTTTTTGCTTTTGGTGTTCCCCACCATGAACAGCTTGAATGTCCTCGTGAAAGGAGCAATGTGATTTGCAACAGCAGATCTTGCAGCTCGGCTGAAGGAAGTAGATTGTGAGTTAAAATCAGCCCGTTCTGGGAAAGTGCTGACCCATGGATGCTGCACTCTTTGGATTGAAGCCCGATATTTATCACGGTCAGCGGCTCCCCTCACAGACCCACCTTTGCTGCTGCGCTGAGGGAGCTGCAACTGGCTTTCAGACGGAGTTAATATGTCTAAAGTGCAAATAAACACCTAATGCTTTCAGTCGTGAGTCGTCTGGCTTCTTTTAAAGCTTTATAGGAACACGGGAGCCAGCTGGCCTGCGGGCTGGAGCAGGGGCCTGCCTGCTGCAGGGAGCGGTGACGAGTTTCCCAGGGCTCTGCAGACGGGGAGCTGAGGGGAGCACTGCCTGCCTGCCCGGCGAGACTGCAGGCAGCCAGCGGAGAGCAGTGCTGGGCCAGGCATGCACTAAGGTAGGTCTGCGGAGTCTGCTCAGCGCCAGGCAGGGGTCCAGCAAAGCCCTGAAACTTTCAGCTCCCACCTCATGCAGAGAAAATCAAAAGACAAAGCTTAAATTCCCAAAAGAGATGTTCTTCTGTCTCTGCAGTAGGGAAGATCTTTGGGACATGAGAAGCAGGTCTGGCCTCTGCTGCTTGCACATGCTCCCCGAATCTGGGCTTCTCCAGAGCTCTGAGCTCTTCTCCTTTTCTGAAAAAATACCCACACCTCCAAAAGCTGTCCAGCTCTTCTATCTTCCCACACGGATCCCATCCAAGATGCTACAGCTCCCTGCAGTACCGGCCTTGGCTCCCCACAGCCCATAGGAGCTGCAGCACCCTGTCACTGCACCCACTTTGTGCATGATTGATTGAAATAAAGCATCACCGCATCCCCGGGGAGGGAGAGCTGCGTAGGAAGTGCCAGCAAACTCTGCTCTCACCCCCTGCATCGCTGTGCCCAACTGTCTTCTCCAGTGCCCTCTCATGTCATTGTTAATGATGATTTAAAGATCTGTATCCTGAGAAACATCTCTGAGCCCCAGGGACAGTTGCAACCATAAATCTGCTCATTTTTCTGCGTCCTGCATCTGTCAAATCAGCAAAAGCCATTAAGGATCTGTGTGTTGGGCTGATGCCCCTGAGATAGGGGGGCGAGGTTGTATCTCGTGCTTTGCAGTCCCCTTGATTCTCAGACAATGCTGCTTCCCCTTGTGAACTGAAGAAACGAGCTCCTTCCCTTTATTAGCTGTATGTGTAATTAAGGGCCAGCCGCTGGCACATGAGCCTGCGTGGCCGGCTTTTGCAGGTGGTGGTGGAGCAGCAAAGCAGCCCTCCTTCCTCCGGCCCCCGCAGTCAAGAGAGGCTCTTTCCCTCGCAAAGAGCAGCTGCTGCTCTCTGCGGGACACTGCAGGTGCATGGTCACTGCTGGGGACCCGCTCAAAACGCGTGGGCACCGCTGACCCCTCAAAACCTCCCCAGTGCTCTTTATCCTCTGGGAGCAGAGGGGTGGGATTGTCCCTGGAGCAACAAGCATGGGCAGCTCTTGCTCTGTGCTAGTCCCCACTGATGGCATGGGGAGGCGAGGATGTAGTGCGTGTTTCGGCAGTGCATGAGCGGACAGGGAAGGTGGGGAGCTGCCATATTCCCCCTTCCCCTTCTCCCAGCAGCTCTGCCAGCCATTGGCAGGGCCGTGCACAAGCTTTTGCTGCTGGCAGAAGGGGGTCAGTGCCCACCGGAGTTGCTGTGTCGTGGTTGCATCCTGAACCAGGCGTCAGCCTTGGTTCCTGGCTGGCACAAGCACAGGGAGAAGACCTGAGCAGAAGACCTGCGGCAGCGCCTGGGTTGGCACCCACCCGCTCAGGGGATGGCTTTGAGCAAGGTCCTTTCACCTCTGCTGCAGAGACTTTCCAGCGCTGTCAGGTTCCTTTACACGAGCTGCACATCTTCATGGGGTGAGATGGCTCCGCAGGAAGAAATAAATTAATTTCACCTCTTCTGGGCTCCTGGCTTAAGATGATCTGAATGTTCCTCTTTCCCTCCCTTGGCTATCTGTTGCTGGACTTGAAGATGCCTAAAATCAGGCAAGAGGAATCCCACCTGTACCGTCTGCTTTTCCCACAGACTCTCTGGCACAGCGAAATGGAGCAATGAACTTGTCTGCAAAGCCGATCCAAACGCAGATTTTTAACTCCCTGACCCAGATTAGACCCAACCAAGAAACCGAACATGGTGGGAACTCTCCTGCTGATATTAATGGGATTGGGATTAAGCCTGGAAATTTGGCAGCATTTCTTGCTTCATTAAATAAACCCCTTTTGGTTGAGGATTTGTTGCAAACACAGTCAAGATTTGTTACATTAAAGAAAACTTTTGAGCTGACAGCCCCGGGGAAGCCGTTCAGGCAGAATTAACAGGCACGCGTACAGATGCACAGATATACAACCACTTTCTTTCCCTAAAATGCAAAACTCTTTTTCTTGGCATGCAAAACACTCTACGAGAAGAAAATATTGCTAGCAGCAGCAGCAAATTGCATAGGACTCAACTCTGTTTAATTCTTTATTTCACTTTGCACAGATTTCTAAAAAGAGACTAAAGACGTTGTGTTTCCAGAGGCACCCAGCAAAGCGAGGGGGCGAGAAGCTCCCGTGTGCAAGTGGTGGGGAGCGGGAGTGAGCGGTGAGTGCCGCAGGACCCGCTGGGACTCCTTGAGTTCAGCAAAATGATTGCCAGGCCTTGTTTAACAGCTGCTGGCTGCAGAGGCACAAGACGTTAGCCCGCTGGAGTAGGAGGATTTGCCACCACCGGTGAATACAGAGTTCACAGTGTGTGATACCTGGCCTCTGGCTGAAATCTGGCTCTGACTGAGCTGCCCACCTCACTTCAGGGGGGTTGGTATGGCCAGTAAAGCCCTGTTTGCTAAACAAGCGTGGGTTGGCTGCCCTGTGCTGAAAACATGGACTTATGCATTTGTGTCAGAGATTTCCACAGCCCAGGGGAGCGGGAGCTGCTGCTCGGACAAGGGCTGGGAGTGCCAGGAACATCGCTGAGGGACTGAGATGGTGCACAGGGTCCCCACCGTGCAAACAGGGCATCTCCATAATGTGACAGCCCCCAGGCCCAGGCAGAGGTGTGAAGACCACATGCGAAGCCAGAGGAGAAGCAGCGTGAGCAGGAGGCTCCCGCAGGTCTTGTCTCCCTGTTACGCCGGGCACCAGGCAGCGGGACCTTGTGGTGCATCTTTTACGGCGTGGTGGGAGGCTGCAGTGCGCACACAAAAAGGGATGAGTCACTCAGGTCACTAATGAAAGGTCACAGCATCCTCAGATTTAGCGAGAGGCATTTATTTCTTCAGCAAAACAGTTTCATTGCTACAGTACCTTTGGCTACAGGGGCAACAGACCTGACAGGTTATCTTATTTCCCAAGGATATCGATTAGAGCGGGGAAAGAATAGTAGATGCAATTACTCCAGGTGACCTGGGAAAAAATGGTAAATATACCTGGGACCGGGTGCCGTTGGTGAAGATTTTAATAAAAGAGAAAAATCTGAGTCTTTGTCTGTGCTATGCAGAGTGTTCTGGCATCTGGGACACCAACAGTTTGTGAAGAAGAGCGAATCACATAAATAGAATAACATTTAGTGTGACTGCGTGAGGCCATCAGTCTAATATTATTCCTGCAGTGCATGCAGTTATAAATAGGTGATGCCATGTAGCGTGGGA